TTGGTTAATTGGCACGTAGTCTTGTAGCGGTGTTCATAGTCAAGCTCAACTCGACACCACGCTACAGATTTGTCCAGTGTATTTGAATTGATGAAAATCAGTGGTAAATTTTGGGTGTTAAAATTACAGCAGGCTATGTGGTATGTGTTAATCTGACTATGGGGAACAATCATTTCGAGGCTTTGTGAACGCGTTGACAAATCGGGTTTCATTCACGTGTTGAGTTTTGGAATTTAACACAATGTTGGCTTGATGAGAAGGGTGGTTCAAGTAGCTCCTCATCATGCAGCTGTCTAGTGATTCCAGGATGCAACCTAGCTGATATTATTAAAACATTTTCCAAAGGACTACTGTCTTATTTAACGCAAGAACCATGTGCTTACATGCAGTACTCGAGCAGATAATTTGCACAACTTCGTAAGGGTTTTAGCACTCACGTGTCTAGGTGCCTGGAATCTATTTCAGTATGCCTGTGTATAGGATTGTATGAAATTCGTCAGTGGACGTTTTCTGCATGGCTGTTTCTTTTCTCTTCACTTATTTGGTTCGTTTACTCTGTTGTTGATTGTGTGAACACATATTTAGCTTTCTTTTTGTTTTATTAATAATTATTATTGCTAAATGGTTTTGTGAATTTTGGACCGGCTGTTTGTTGTTGGTAGTGTTCTGATTGCGATTATTTTTCTAAAATTCAAAGTCCTTGAGATGTTTGATTGTGACCATATTACAAATCTTCCACTTGGTTGGTTCCACTCTATCTTTTGTTTGTTTCTGCTCTTAACGGCGAGAAAGTATTTTTGCCAGGTGCTGAAATGAAGCATTTTTCAGAACAGCCAATTATTTATTCGTTTTTCATCCCAAGATCATCATTGTGACACAGTAATTGTTCATCAAAAAGTTTTCATATTTTTCCTTTTGGGTAGAACGTTGTTTTCTTTGTTGCTGGGAACGGGTTTCCGCCACATCAATTAGTTGTATTATTTTCTTATGTTTCGATCATTTATTGTGTAGTAGATTTGTTGCACATTGTGATTTTGCCTATCAGAGACGGCACTGTTCGAAAAGAATTCATCTGTTGTACCTGTATTAGCTGTTTCAGTGTCACACTCAATACTATTGTAGCACTATTTTGTACATTAGTTTACTGGAAATGACCTTGAGGATAGTCTTCTACAAGGAAACTTATCAGAAGTTCTACTTAAGTCGTACCTGTCAGAAAGGTTGGACTTAATGTGGCTTTTTCCAGCCACTTGATAATCTACTTTAGATTACATACGAGTTAGGTGATTTGCAATACGACTCAGGTTCCCCCTCAGTAATTTAAATGCATTTCACTGGATCAAATAGATCTATCCACATCAAGTCTGTTTAATAATATTAACAATAATGTATTATTAAATATCAGTATATTAGCAAACCGAAGACACCGAGACCGTTAATTGTCACTGTATCCGGAGTGAGAATGGAGGGGGGCTATTTGCAATCAAAAGAAGAGCGCCCATACAACATACGTAATAATAAACTGGTCAGACTATAAGTGAACTTTATCTTTGTTATTTCATGGTGTCTCTTGAGTACAAAAACTTTTAAATAATCTTATGATTTCTCATTTTCTCGCCATCCTTTGGTTTATGTACGAATATGAACGTTCGCTGTATCCTATGAACTTGTAGCGGTTAATAAATCCCCAAAATAAATAGCTCTGTAAGTTTTCGACATTGGATGCTGACCACAGTTTTAGTGGACTCATCTAGCTGAAAGCGCTCGGTCAAGCATGCGCACCAGATCACGTAAGGAAACGCCATGCTCAACATCGACCGCAATCGCTAGCCAGATTAGTTCAAACGATCCTCGATATATTGATAGCTTATCAAATATATCTTCGATTTCCTCGCTTCTGTCTTTTGATTTCACTTGGTGAGTGCGCTTCATATTAGAAGGTGTTACTGGTTAAAGCGTTGTCAAACTCTGAATACCTGTGGCATCTTCAAACTCGTTAATCAAGTTTCCTTCATGCAATCTTCTGAACATGGGTGAGGGAAAGTTCGAAAATTTTCCCAACTCTCGATGTTGAAATTTTCTCCCACAAGTAATCTAAATCCCACCACAAATGTTCTTATACCATGTGCATTGACATTACTGACGGATGACAAGTAATTCGGATTTTTTCGGAATGGTCGAAGATACGTGTGTTGCTGAAACTTTGGTATAAAAATTCCCAAAGGCTTTCAAAGAAATTCCTTCAGAGATTCTGTTCTTACGTCAATGATTTGCAAAGCTTTTCATCTCAATAATTTATTTACCACTTCAATTTTTATAAAGCCAGCTTGATTGGAAGGGTCGGTGATCCGTTGGAAATGTAAACGCAGCTTCGGTTGAAAAAAGTTATTCATACACCCGAAGCCTCAGCAAAACACATCTCACCACGTTTTGTTGTTCTAGATTTTAGCAAAGCATTTGACAAGGTTTCACACTTAGGTCTTATGCAGAAGCTCACAAGCTTCGGAATAATAGGTGCTGTACAGTAGTGGATAGGAAACTTCTTATGTGACCGCAGACAGAGAGTTAGGGTCAATGGAACGCTATCCGATTGGAAGCCGGTCAAAAGTGGTATACCACAAGGCACCATATTAGGCCCTCTGCTATTCCTTCTCTACGTAAATGAGTTACCGCTGTTGCTTAGGTCGTCGACATTATTATTTGCGGATGATGTCAAAATATGGAGAGCAATAAGAGGTGAGGCTGATCATCTGGATCTTCAAGCTGACTTAGACGATTTAGTTAGATGGCCTCGAGATTGGGGTTTAAAAATCAATTCTAGGAAGAGTGTGCTAATGCACATCGGTCACGGCAATAGTTACCATTATAGTATTGATGGTAAACCTCTTCCATGCGTTCAAGAACATAAAGATTTAGGAGTAATAATAAGTCATGATTTAAAAACAACTGCGCACTGCAACGCAGCCGCTGTCAAAGGTTTTCGTGCGTTGTGGTCACTTCGCCGAGCGTTTAAATCCTTTGACGAGGAAATGTTTCGAATTTTATATCCCACCTATGTAAGACCACATTTAGAGTACTGTATTCAAGCAGCTAGCCCATGTCTGATAAAAGATACTACCTCGCTTGAGCGTGTCCAGCGTTTGGGAACGAAATTATTGAAGGGTCTTTCTAAACTTATCTTACGACGAGCGTTTAAAACGCCTAAACCTTTTCCGATTGTCGTATCGTAGGACTCGAGGTGACCTTATACTGGCATTTCGTATCTTTAATTGTGATTCGGGTGTTAATATGTCTTATCTTTTTGCTCCCTCCAGCATTAATAATCTCCGAGGTCATAGCAAGAAGGTTCATAAACTATGATCTAATAAACTCAAGGTGGGGTTCCGTTTTTCTCATCGAGTAGTCAATGATTGGAACACTGCCCGATCAAGTGGTATCAGCCCCATCAGTGAATATTTTCAAAGAGAAACTGGACCTTCACTGGAAAGCAACCTGTTAGGATTAACACAGGTTCACTAACCTACTATGCTTATTACTGAAGACTGAAGACTGAAGACTAATGGCTGACTAATAATGAGCAAAACTACCAATCAGTCCTAGCGTCTAAAGATAAAGTACTCTTTCACTTTACAGACATATTAATTCCGAAGCACTAAATGAATCTAGCTCGACGTTCGAAGTTTGGTGGCTTGGCTGACCTCAATGTACATTGGGGAAGAGTATTGAACAGTATTGTGTATTGTTCAGCGATTCTTTGAACTGTGTCCTTGAAGCTGAATGAAATTTCAAAGGTTTACACTTTAAAAATACTAGACGGTAAGTTATTGAATATGTGACGTTTAATAATTCAAAGTCTATCTATTCATGTTATTCTGTGTGTAATTTACGCCTGATATGACACAGTGAATATACTTGCAGTTCTCTACAATAAAGCTTTTTGTGGAAGTAATGCATATAGACGACCTTGAGCTCTTTTCCATTCAGAGATGCTTGGTTATGAAGCTATTTATGACTAAAAAGTAACACAGTTATAATTGGTCAGCAGTTTGTATACGAGCAATCAACACTCGTACAAACTATCGGGTATTCACCAGGAGCTATTATGATCAATAATGCGTGAATTAATCATGCGAAACATCATTGGTTTGTCAATATTCCCTACTTCTCCAAAACATTTAGGAAAACTGCCGATAAATAAGCCATCTGATACACTAGCTTTCAGCAGTTCGTTAAGAAGCTCTGATTCGCATGTTTCCCAAAACAGTACCTTTCCGTTATCGTGGACGGACAAAAACTATTATTTCCTTGTCTTTCGTAATTATCTTTGAGGTCAGAGTGAAAGGAACTTGGATAACGACAACACATCAACAGCACATCAACCTAAAAACCCCTCTGGGTTGTCCTTCACAGAATAGGCTAGGAATTATGGACCCACCTTTGGACAGCTTTCAGCGAATGACAAATCTTTACACACATCTATAGTCACGATTGTTGTTAGGCGATATAGGTCTTTACTTACCATTTGTTTCGATCCGAGGTTATTGAATGATAGATTAATCAGCGAGACCTTTTTACGAACGAACCGATGAGATTTAGGATGATAGGTCTTGGATTTCGGTGCGAAATTCTTTCATCTTTTTGGCTAATTAGCGTTTTGGCATTTCAGCTGATGTTATTTCGGGATGGAATTTCAGTCCAGTTCCTAACCCTAATCACTAACTGTCAATCATAATTTTAATTCCTCACGCTGCTTTATAACCGTCATGTAGTCCTAGTTAGTAGGTGGACATTCTCATGGTCACTCTAGGGTCTCTCAAAGGTCGTCCATAAATTATAATCTCCGATTAATCGGTGAGTAGGAATTGATTTCATGCCGGAATAGAACACCTGAAATTTTAGATCGGTAGCACTAGAAAGTTTTCAACGACTAGGTTTTTGGTTTAAAACCTAATTTACTTTAGGTTACTGAGTATCATCATTAACCTTCACAGTAGTAATGTCTTCACTTTTTTTTCGAGTCCCTAAACATCATTAAACTTATTTCAGTCCAAAAACCATTGTTTGTAATAGATATTATTCTTGTCCCTTTGTTGATTATCCAGCCTTTTCCTTCCTGTTTTCATATCATCCTTTCAACTTGTGTAACATTCGTCTCGGTGCCATATTGTACGAAAATGTTTCACTAAATTAAAACACTTTAGTTGTCACTTACAAATGTGCAGTTTCATATGAGTTATTTGCATATAGTGTTGAAGATTCTCCAGACCGGACTACCTTATATGTTTTGGTCGACTTGCTTATACACTATCACTAATCATCTGTTCATTAACTAATCTAGCTCACACCAAATCTGTTTTCTTCAAACCGTATGACTTCCCTTCTTTGTTAACATGTAATAGAGACATTTTGCAACCCTCAAGTGGGTCAGAGCTTCTAACGAAAAATCATATCCAATTATGGTAGAACCACCTCTCCGTCGAAAACGTGCGTTATCGTTTGCTGGATACTCCGAGGTGAGTCAGGATTACAACTATTGTTTAATTAGTTTATATTTTTCTCACTTGAATGCTATTAAACTTTTATATTGACCAATCACTTCTGACTAAATATTATATGTACTTCACAATCGCCGTTTAACCGCAACGCCTTTCCAGTTAACGTTATTGCGTAAACCGAGTAATTTTTTGGATACTAAGAAATTTAAAATATGTAACGGACTTTCGATAAGTCCACTGTGGTCGCTTTGCCTAATATTTAGTTCCTAGAAGTTAAAGTTTGCTATTTGTTGTCGTTATTCAAAGTTATATGTCCTTTAGCAGAGCGTGGTTTCGATCCACGGACCTCTGGGTTATGGGCCCAGCACGCTTCCACTGCGCCACTCTGCCCCCAAATGCCCTGGTACGGCCGAGAGTGGGGTGGGCCTGCTCTCCCTCTCGAAATACTCTCACACGGCCACGCGTATACAGCCTCTGCCAGGGAAGTCCTACTCACTGCCTCCTCGTGGCGGGGGTGTTGTTTACGAAAATGAGAGGACGAAAAGCGAACGTCCGGCGTTATAACCGGATCCCAAATCAATGGTGCACATGGGCTGGCTCCAGTATCCTGAGGGAACAAATGGCGTATGAACCGATTTCTTGGTCACCGGCTACCATGGGACTGCATCTCCTCACGATGCTCCACTGCCTTGTGGATCAGATCTTCAGGTCAAAGGCTCGGGGTGTGGCCCCCTAAGAAAACCACCTGCTTCGGTTTGGGCACCCGGGTAGTATCACAGCCCTCACACATATCAAATGAGATATGTGTGGCGCATATGTATTTGGTGCCTTCTTGTACCGATATTTATGTTAAAATAAATAAACAAATAAATAAAATAAATATATGTCCTTTTGGGGTATTGCTCCCTCTGTGGATAAACCTACCTTATGATGTAAAATTAATGGACAACTTAGCACTGTAGTTTAACTGAATTTCCAGTAATTAAGCAATAACTACTATTTTATGGTCCAATATACATTGTGACTTATTTTGTTTATCCTTGAACTGTAACATTTCATGGTATCAAGAACAGTTGAACTTATGTGCTTCCTCCTGAAGACTATAAATGGCACTTCAAAGGTGGTCAGGATTTTGTATCCAATGTGACCATATTTCTTTAAGTGTGTAGAAGAATTGAGTACTTCACTGGTCTAAGTTTTATTGTCATATAATTTTCAACTGGATCTGGTAATGGCTATAAAGGGAAATCAGTTGGATTTCACTACTTTCCCCAGGCTAGTTTACTAAATTATATCACATAATCGGACAGTATTATCTACTTTTCAGTTAATCATAAACAAGGACCTGACAAAATTATCCATTATTTCAAGTTTCCATTTTTTTTTTTTCAGCACTGAAAGTAACACGACGAACATTAGAAGGATCAAAGTGATGATTTTGCTAATATTAGTAAAGTATACATAGAGAATATAGTTTAGGAAGAATCATTACTTTGTCCAATGAACAATAACTTCTCAGTCTGATGTGACATCTTAGTTTTGAATCATATAACCTTCTGAACCATCTCTATACAAGCCCCAGTTGCATGCTGCAGTAACCAGTGGCTTGGATGTGTTATACCTGTCTAGTCATCCTAGTGAATGTGGCTTCCAGAATCTTTTCAATCGATTTACCACTTCTATATTGTACTACACATCTTATCCTAGCAGTGCTTACTCGGTAGTTCTGTTACATGTGAAAAATTTCCGACGAGATTTTTCGTCAAATGCTAGGGATGTTTGGATATCTTTTATCTTCAAGTGCCATAAACTAATACGGAGAAAAGTGCTTCACAGTATGATCTTTCTTTGATATGCAGATGAACTTGTGTTCTGTTCCACAGGTAAGGCTTGTAGCGAGCTATATACTTACACTATGACCAAGAATCAGTTTGCGTGAAATGGATATTGTATAAGAATATTTTTGGTTTTCTGGAAGTATATCGATTGCTATAATTCTTAATAACTTAATTTACCGTAAATATTTCCTATTGTCGTTTAGCTCCCCAAAATTTCCGGAAATGTTCATTTTGGACAGTTACCTACTGCCTTCCGAATTCGCCATCCATCGTCCGTTTATCCTGATGGTGGTCCAGCTTTTGATCAAGTTTTCGGGGGTTTTTCACAGAAGTTAAACAATGAAGAGATTGAATTTTCAACGTCTAATGACTTATCAGATATCAAAGATTTTGTAATAAGAGGTTGTGATTTACGCTCAAGAAAATCCTCAGTCGCTACAGTTGTAGATCATCCACTACATAGTTGTATCTCGACTCCCGAAATTTACCCTAAAGTACCAAGTTCCTGTTCTGGTTCAGTAGCCAAACTGGCTCAGCCACTTGATTTATCATCCTTTAACTGTTCAGATTATATTCTTCCTGATAGTCTATTATCTTCGAATCTTGTCAGACTCTACCTTGCCAAGGTTAGTATTATTCCTTATTTGTTATCATCGTTACATACATATTACTGGATACTGGAAATAATGTTTTAAAGAATATTTCTGTTATTACTGTGATCCTCTGGATACTTTGATTGGAATTTGTTTCGAACTGTTGATCAGTTGTTCGAAAATATAGTCATAAGTCCAATGTACATTCCATTCGCCGCATTCAAGGGAGTAGTGTAGCATCTGCAGCCGTCTCATAATAATTATGTGAGGCGGTAGACTAGTGGTTAGGTCATGTAATGGGTAGTGAAATGTTTGTGCACTCCTTTGCATGTGAAAGTGTAGCTTACTGGCTAAACAATTCTTAAAATTTCTAAGAAGAATATAAACATTGAGGTATATCAATTTGATAATCCCTTGAAATCTTCATAAAATGAAAAAAAGTATTATTAATCCTTTTTGTTATCTATTGTCGTTATTGTTTCAGTGATCACTTTGTCTATTCATTCTCAAGTATTTGTTTCTCAAACAATAACCCAGTATTGATATTCCAAGTTGATGGATTTTTGAAATAAGACTAGTACCTTTTTAATCGTCTTATTATTATAGCCTAAATATGTCTTTTTAAATTTCTACAAGCGTGACAATCTGTGTTATGTATCACAATAGTGTAACTCATATATAACTTTTCTTAAGCTCGGGATTTCATAGGATGAGATTTTATGATCAGAATTCATCAACTATGCGTCCGTAAATTTACCGTCAGAAAAAAATGCAATTTCAGTGAACGAAGACTTGGTAGGAAAAATAAATTTATTGTTTAATGCGAAATTATAGTGTCTCGTGAAATATGAAAACAATACACTAAATACATTATTTGTACATATTCCTTCATTTGTCCAGTATTTGCTTCACGATTCTTCCAATTCTGTTGTTATTAAAATTGCTATCTGTTTCCCTTACTGTTTTCAATTCAGTCTTCTGTAGACAGGCATTTCACTTCCGATTGCTGCTGCATACTACCTATATCTGTCAGCAGCATGCACCACACAATCAGCTTGTAACCCGGGAAGTGTTTACCTAAGTGTCCTATATACCAAGAGACTGATCAAATTCATTCGGAAAAACTAAGGGATGGATGATAAAAATAATTTTAAGTAGTAACAGTTTCACATTTTGCTTCTACTAAATAGTCTAAATGGAAATATGGGGAGATTTGTGTCCATTTTGTACTGATTTCAGTTATGTGTTAAGAAAAATGTAGAAATGCAGTGATTTATCTTTATCGATCTAACCAGTCATTTACGTCAGGCTTATTTTGTTTTTCCGATCAAATCAATATTCTGAAATACTTTGTTCAAAGTGTCTGCTATTTGATATTTAAAACAAATAAATTGAATCACATGGAATTAAGCTGTCACGGGTATTTTGTTTGAAATAAATATTGCCTGCAAATTATATAAGTTGTATATACTTATTTGTATATCTCATGTGTGCCCGATCATAGCTCAGTTCATGTGTGTATTTTCACCGATTAAACATCATACAAACTCGGTTGTTTTACATACTAAAGAACTTTGAAAGGTTTCGTGATTTATATGGGATTATAAAGACATAAATTTTTTTTATTTAAGAGGCCATCTTTTACTGAGATAGTTTGAAAGCACTTAATAGTAGTAAGAGTTACATTAGACTCAAGTGAATTTTTTCTAGCAAAGCGGTTATTCGACTGCATCTGGACGTACACACTGTTATTGTTGATCGTCAGAAATAGATGGTAGAAATATGATTTACTGTTGAACAGTAATATAAATAAATTGTATATAAAAGTGTGCACTATTAATTCTGAAGAGATTTTCGGTCTTATTATTCGACCTCTTAATTTGGTTTAATAAACAGCTTCTGCTTAGTGGCATCTCACCCACCATCGTCTTGCATACGTCATTATAAATCTTTTATTCGCTTCAGAAATGATTGATAGTGAATTTTCCCTTTAAGGACCTAAGTATTAAACTTAAATGTTATCAAATTGTATTACTAATTATTATCACTTTTTATCCAAAGGTTTCCACATCAAAGCCTGTTGAATATACATGCCCAAATAATTCCTCTCGATCGAAATCTCCACAGACTTCTATACAGGATGATCATCGCCTACCAGAATGTTTACAAATTCACCCACTCACTCTGGCTTCTATGGTTATGCCAGTAAACCAGATAGTTCGAGCACATGCTAACCAGAATAAATCTGAAATGAAAAAATCGGACGAACTTGTAAATTCATTGAATGTTTATTTGAATGGTCGAAATGCCGTAACAGATGCAAGCTATTCTAGTGAATTCAGTGATGGTGAATCATGGGGACGTCCACCTGTCTGTGATCATACTAACACTGGATATCTTTCAGATAATCACCTTATAGAAGCTGTTTCTGAAGCAAAAATGCTCAACATGAGTAAACAACAACTAGAAATGCGCTTAAGTATCCGACCTGGTTCTAAGATTATCTCCTCTAGTCGCACACAAACAAATTCAAGTCAGTTTCTCTATCTTTTTCTCAACTTGGCACACTAGTGGGTTGTAGGAGAGTTGGTATATGAGTACATGACTTATTCGTCATCTCTCAGTACTTATTCTCATAATACTTTTAAGAAATCTAGTCTTACGACTTTTCTGTTGATGTTTGGCTTCAAATCTTATCGTCTTTAATCTAGTTACTACAACCAGCTATTAACGCTGACGCTTATGAATTGAAAGCACTTTTTGACATCAGATGTATTTGCACTTATTTGAAGGCTTACATATTGACACAAATGGGCACCAAAATAAATATGCACCGCACAAGTAAGAAAATGAGATTTTGAAGAAATAGGTGAAGATGAGGATTTATAATCAAAAACAAATAAATCAGTTAAAATAACTAAACGAGAGTATTACATACTGGGAGGAACTGTAGTGTCGGTTACTACGTTAAGCCCACATAACTTATTCTAGCTTCTGGACAGGCCAATTTATCCATTCTTCTTGAGTCACGTTTTGATATTGTTAATTATTCACTTATCAACCCTGACTGTTTTTAAACGACTGTATGTGTGTGTGTGCATCTTATCCTACTCATCATGTGTCTAGTTATTTTTGTGGGACTATAAATATTGATTAACGCTTAATTAAATCGAGTTGGCTCATTTGCCTTCTCCATTGCGCGTCATTTCGCTTCGCTGTCTTCGCTTCATTCCTCTGATTGTTTGTTTAAATCAATGAGTGTTCAAAATTTATTCTGGTATTTGACTTATTTATTTCCGTCATTCACTAACGCAGATTAACTCGGTAATTATATACGAGGATTGACGATATGTGTATCTCTAACAATTGTTTGACGGTAAATCGCGGCGTGAATAGAGTTTTCAGAGAATATCATCATTTTGATTATATTTGTGTGTGGGCTGTGATACTGCCCGGGTGCCCAGACCGAAGCAGGTGGTTTTCTTAGGGGGCCACACCCCGAGCCTTTGACCTGAAGATCTGATCCACAAGGCAGTGGAGCATCGTGAGGAGATGCAGTCCCATGGTAGCCGGTGACCAAGAAATCGGTTCATACGCCATTTGTTCCCTCAGGATACTGGAGCCAGCCCATGTGCACCATTGATTTGGGATCCGGTTATAACGCCGGACGTTCGCTTTTCGTCCTCTCATTTTCGTAAACAACACCCCCGCCACGAGGAGGCAGTGAGTAGGACTTCTCTGGCAGAGGCTGTATACGCGTGGCCGTGTGAGAGTATTTCGAGAGGGAGAGCGGGCCCACCCCACTCTCGGCCGTACCGGGGCATTTGGGTCCTTCACGACTCCCTGGCTGGGGTCCGACAGATGGTGTAACACAGTGGCTATAAACTTTATCGGATATGGCTCAGAATAGAAGCCAGTGGCGATCCTGCTGTAACCTTCTTTTACTTTCTTTATAAAAAGTGGTTGTATCTTCCTTAACTGTAAGATTTCTGAGTGTACCTTTCCGTTTCCCCCATCATTGTTCTCTTTTTTTATAATTCCCTACGTTCCTTAACTTTTTTTTCCTTCCCCTTAAATTCTCATTGTTTTGTGTGGCGCATATATATTTGTTGCCCCCTTTGTACCAATATTTATGTGTTCAAATAAAATAAAATAAATCTCTAACAATCAATCATGCGATATAATTGGAGTCAGATACGGGCCACAAAAGAACTATTCAAACTATAAATTACGACTGGAAGGAATCTTTTCAGTTAAAGAAGTTCCTCTCATTCCTATGAAGTAAAAGAAAATTACGACAGAGTTTCTATTCATTTTTATCCAAAGGCATGCCCTGTAACGCCTCAAGCCACCGAGTTGCATTGTTTCTAACTCCAACCAGGGAGTCATGATGAACTGAGAGATACCGATTCGATACAGTTCTCTCCCATAGCACGGCTCCGTGTCGCAAACTGACTACCTCTCTACTTTTTTCCAATTTGTCCTAAATTCGTTAAATAAGGGACGGTGTGAAGTTCGCTTGGACGACATTCGTAGTACATGTCCAAGCGGTCGAAACCAGCGTTTGAAGATAGTGACACTAACTCGGTCATCGTAGTTTTGCCCACATACACGTTACCAAACCTCCGTACTACTAACATAATGTTGCCATTGAATGTCAGCAATCTATCGGAGTCGCCGATGATCGAACACAAAGTTTTTTTACTATCCTTAACGTGGAGAGTCCAAGTTTCACAAGCATACAGCAAATCTGCTTTCACTGGAGAGTTGTCAACTCTGCCTCTCACAGTCAAACTTACATCAGGATAGCTCCAGAGGTGGCTCAAATCGGTTTTCATCACACATAAGCTGATCTTATATGATACAACACCACTAGTATTCACACGCAAGTTCTAAGCATTCAAAAATCCATGAAATATTAGATTTTCTAATATTGTTTGGTATACTTTTATTGTAATGTTGTTTTTAATTGAAATTTTGATGGAAGCAAAAATATTCTTATCACTAAGTAGAAATGTATATTGCTAAGTGTTGTAAATAACGATAAATAGTTTGTAATGTGAAGAAATTCACAAAAGTAATGATAGTAGGAACAATGATAGAAAGTGTGAGATTATTAGCTTTTTAAAAAGTAGTCGAACTAGTGGAAGAAAGGCTTAACAGGACTAATGAAACTGATCTTAGTGGTTTAGGCGTTCGACTTTCAGCTACTTAATCTCAGGTTCGAGCCCCTCCCCACCTACTTCTGTTTGGAGAGCCATGTAGTATCTTTGGCCTTCACACAGTGTGGTTCATATCCCAAGTACCTGGAGAATGAGTTAGTCTTTATGTATCTATATGTTGGAGGTTAAAGTAAGGTTAGTTTATAAGTGAGATTTTGGATATATTGGACATTTGATTTAAGCTAACATAAATATGTGATATACTTTCTGTTGACTCTTTCTAATATGGTACTTATCGTTATTCTCACCTTTTGTGTATGTAGTTGGTACTTACTTAAGAATAAACCAAAGAAGTATTTCAGTCGAAATTACTCCTGTTTTTTATATATTAACAATGTTCGTGTCAAATACTTAACTATAAGTATTTAGGCAATTAATAGAACTAGTTAAAAGTTTGTGGAAATCGTTCACGTCTATTCAGTGCATCACGGATATTCATCAATCAAAGTAGTCACACCATAAATTAACACAGTGAGATGCGATTATCAAAGCGAAATATCTCAAAAGTAGTAACATTAATGATTGTTAAAATACTAAACATAGAGAATATGATTGGAGAAAGTAGACTGAACTTATCGAAATAAAATGTATCAATCAATTTTGAAACTTAAGTTTTAAAGGTTTAGAAACAGTTAATTCATTTGCGCCGCTGTGTCCGATTTTTAACTATTTTATTTAACGTCTCAAACCTATTTTCTGCCTTGTCTTTAGGGGAGAATTTGAATCGTAATTACTTAACACCGAAATTTGAAATCACTCACGTTTATGATGGCCTAAAAACATCATCTAATACATTTCCAAATGCAAATAAATCTTTTTCTAATTTTCTGCATAATTCTCATTTAAATTTAAACTTCACTGACGATGATTTCAGTGATGTAAAGTCATCTGTTTGTTATTCTGTTCCTGGTTCACCCAATATTAATTCAAAATATTCTCATTTAACAAGACAGAGTAACTCGAGTGAATTCAACGACGATTTTCATCATATAACTACTAATCCAACCGCCGTCAATAATAATAATAATAGAAATATTCGAACAAGGCGATTTGAACGTTTACGTGATTTTTTGGGCACTTTTAAAAATGATAATCTCTCCAATACAGATGACGATGATCACTACTTTTACATGGATCCAAAATCTGTAGAACGTAGAATGAAATGTCAAGCATCAAATATAATTTTACCAGTATCTTTTTGATTCACTTCTTTTAATTTTGAAAATTTTTTTTTGTCGTTATTTCGTATTTTCACTAAATCATCCGTCACTATTAGAATTTTTTCTTTAATTGTATTCGTAATGTATTATTCACCGCCTTACTTTAGAGGATATATATATATATATATATATATATGCTGAGTTATTCAGTGTATTATTCTTTAGTTTGTAGATAGATAGCAATGATAAACATCAGCTTCTTGTACTTATTTGCTACTTCAATTAATATTCTATGTATCAACTTAATTATTTTCTTATCATTTCTTTAATCACCATTGTATTTATTATCATTATTTTAGAGCCCATTTCAATATTGTTTTCCATTTTATTTTATTTTGTTTTTGTTTTGCGTTCATCATTAATATTAGTAACTGGGAAGTTTATATTTTGAGTTGCTTCTTTTGGTTCTTATTCTAATCGTTATTGCCATTGTTTTATTTTCGGTTGACGTTTTTGGACATATACCGTACACTTCATTACACCACTGATATATTTCAAAATATCAGTTTTATTACTTATTAGTCTAGCTATTTAAAAGTGAGTGATTGTTTTTATATGTTGACTTGTTAAACGAATTCCATATAACTGAAACATAACAGTTCACAATTGACTGATCAGTGAATAATGATGGATGTCATGTTTGTCTAGTTCTTTGCTGCTGATCAAATTGCAATGTGGCTAAAAGTCCAAATGAATTGAACGTGAACTTTGTTGATATGTTAATATGTTGGAGAGAGTTGAAAGGAAACCATAGACCTAGGCTTATACTAGTTGGCACTGGTTACGAACGTGCACCTGTATTCTTGTGGGAATTGATGCTTCCTATGCGGTTTGATCCCGAGTCATCCAGCTTCATAGTTTGAAACCTTACCATTGTTAAGTTTGGCTAGCAACTGGCTGTACAACTAAAATATTTACATTTCATTGTCCACTGAATAGGTCACTGGACACGCGACATTATACACCAGAGTGCTTGTTTAATTATTTTAATAGCAGTAATTGTACTTGGCGTCGATTTCTTAATAGTAAATCTTTAGTTCAAACCCTATGTATGTTATCTTTAGAGGTTTCCGTAACTAAGACGACTATCGATTGTTATTTCTTTTCCTGGTCGACGGGGACTGATAGTTAGTAGTTAGGGAGACAACCGTTACTATCCGAAGTCTGAAGCTTAGTTTGAATCCATCGTTTATGTACGAAATAACATCAGTTCAAGTTTAAATGTAAACTCAGTTATTGTAATATGGCAGCCGTACGCTCATTAGTAAAGTCACCTGCAAAATACAACTAAAAGAGCTAGGTCTTGAAATATAAAGCTTAAGAAAAGCCATGGTCTTATTTTTAGTCAAAATGTGTTGACACATAGGAAATCTTCATAGTTGGCAATGATAAGTAGATGCTGCTCTAACGCAAATTGATTAACTGTGTAATACATCTATTTTTTATTCTTTCGATTAATGTATCGCAGATTCGTTCCGTATACGCTCTCAGAATTCTCCCGTTGGACATTGCAGTATTAAAAGTCGTCTATGGAATGTATTGGGATAACACTGAGTTTAGGCTTGCAGCTCAGGAGACAAACTGGAGGAGAAAAACTAATAAATAATGGAGTAAGGATGTTGGCTTTTTAGCCTAATCAAAGTATGACTCATCAAATGAATAAGTGTAAACAGGCACGCATGTTTACGGAAAGGTATAAGGAGTGATTAGTTAACGATACGAGAATAAGTGAAATAATAATAATGGAATTATTAATGTGCATCTAATAACTGTTAAAATTGCTTAAACAATAACTGTCAAGCAGTGTACTCATATTGCTTGTTACGACTGATGTTTTGAGTATAGGTTCCATCTTACTACGAAAACTGATTTTAAAAACGCGAGTATTTTTAAAGACGGTCAGTTATTCTTTGTCGTAGTACATCGTTAGGACTATGGGAAGATACTTTGAGGAACAATTTGTTTGACTTCCATTTACCCTTCATTTGCATTTACTGTATAACAGCGGTCCAAGTATTGTGAAAATTTGTTCTTGATTGAGGTGGACTAATGGACGCAGAGATCGTTTTTGCAAATCTAAGCGATATTATTTTATCCGAAGATTTGTACATAAATAATTTTGTCTGAATTTTCAGTTTATTTTACTGGGACGTGGAGTAGGTACAACAGATTGCCGATAATAAGCTGACCGAGTTAAAAATAATAATATATATTTATTCTATATATCCCAAAATTATTTACACAAACAAAATCGATGCACTTTACTTTCACTCTACTCGGCTTATTTTAGATTAATTCCTAACTTAGCCAAGTTACATAAGATTTAATAATTAAAATAAGTAACAATTTATTTTAAGCCCAGCAAACCGATTTGAATTGTTTATTTCGCTATTATACGTAGTGTAATCAGTTAGTCAATTAAGCACCAATACTTTATTCCAAATGATTAATTATTTCGTCATATTTTATTCGAAAGCTAAATTAATTAGGATTAGTTTAATGATCTGAGCTTAGGTGACAATGCATTTTATTATGAATCATATCATTACGTTACTGACATTCTAAAGTTCTTATGCAAGTGTTTGATTTGAGTGGATTCATTAGATCTCAACACTGAACCAATCGATACTTCCTCAGAAACTGGAAGGAATAGCCTTTAAATTTTAAGTGAAAGTCTTTAATGTTTCAATTTAGGCTCAATAAAAATAAAATCGATAGATCTAGATCATTATGTGAAAACAATTTTAAAACCTTGGATTTTTGTCGAGTGAAACAGTCATCTTCTGTTCTCTTGTATTACATTTTCGAATCCTTGTCTTGGTCCATATTTGGTCGATGCGGAAGATGAAGTTACAATGGAACTAAGTGAAGATACTGCGAAGGCACTTCATTAGGTGTTGAAACTTACGAGTGTCCTTAGGATGAAATCGATTTGACGGTTTATTGTATGGCTGAGAATAGGAATCGATCATGTATACTAAGATTGAGTGAATTCGCTTTCGGCTCTATGAGGTCGAGTGAGTCCCCAAACAGTAACTGCGAATGTTGACAAAAAGGTAATGGGAGTTGTTATTGAGGTGGAATAATGAGGCGGTTTAGTTCAGCTATTTGTACTCATCATAGTGATGCCTTGGAAGTTAAGTGTATAACACGAATGTCTAGTTACAGGAAAGTCGTTTGGGCATCTAAAAGGGTCTTACTGTCCACAGCCAATATAAATGACATTTGCATAGATAATCTATTTGTGGTATGGGCAAACCTTCAGATTTATCATCTAAAATTTACTTGAAATCATTCTTCTGAATCTCTAACATTCACCGAAGTAAGTCATACTGACATCAACTGGTTTAAGATAAATCTTTAGAGAAATGTAAGTATTTTGGAGCACATCTTTGTACTTTTGTTATCCTTTAATATACCCCAAAATCATTCTGAATTTATGGCCAACATATATATTGTTCTCAACTGGTTTATGTAATCTTAAAAGTTCCCATAAGATAAATTAAATCAACCATATAAGGGGACATTATTATTTTCCATTACACTTTCATAAAGCTTTACTCCAATATAGTAATATTTAGATGCATATATGTGGAACACCAATCCAAGCAAGATAATTTGTAGGCTAATGATAGCAGTAGAAAGGTTTACATTACTAATCATAGTAAATAGACAGTAAAAATTGTAAGTTGACATGTATAATAGTGAGTAGAAGAACAGTAAACAGAAAAGTGTTATGAGCAAACGTATGTCAAAGTTTCAAAGCATGAACTCATTAGAACATATGAAATGTCTATTATTTCCCTGAATTCTCTGATGTTAATAAACAAATAATCGTAAAAGGTTTCATTATAAGAAATTTTTAAATAGCCAGTTCAAGAAGGTAGATGGTATAGAAGAGGAAACACAATGAATAGTGTGGGCAGAATTAATAAAATGGTCCAACATTTTTTTCCCTATACATTAGTAAAACTGTATGGTTTAAAATGATAGCTTCAATAAATTTCTTATGAATGAATAATTCAGGTTTTATAACTTTAGGATTAATTGTAACCGCTTTCTAAATGAAAAACCGATCCCATCGAATCATCAGTTAAGATAACTGGTGAACTGAGCCAAAGTTTTCCATAAAGACTATAGCTGTCGACTGATGGTGTGATATTTCTGTCCAAGATATTCCGAGACTGAATACATTCTTATTGTATTCAGTCTCAATGGAGGTGTCTGCAATAATGGAATTATACATTCTTCATATTAACTTTACAATATACCAGATGCTTTGATTTTACAATAGACGTTTCATATAGGCCAAAGGTGTACTAGAAGAATTATTTATTACTCATCAGTCATCTAAAAAAGGAACTATGACAAAACTCTGGTAGCACAATTTTTATTTATAGATTTTCGCCAATTTTTCGGTAGTAAAATTTACGATCTTCAGTATGTTTGCGGTGACGCATTTTGACAAAACGCATTCTGATTATGATTTAAAGTTGGAATATTCAAGTATACTTATTCAAAATAGATGTGTATTTAGGAATTTGCTAATTGTAATGAATAAACTTTTAATTTCAAGTAGTCTTTGTTTCTGAGATAAAATGTTAGTGTTAAAAATAATTAAATCATCATGAGAATTATTTGGTTAATAAAATCACGTTACCAATGGTATTGATGAAACTGACTACATTAAAATCGTACGACCGGTATTCTTAAAAAAATTTAATGACACCATGATAATTATAATAGTTGTAAATGACCTTGACCCCATAAAAATGTATACAACACTACATTTCTTCGTCGTACGAACGAAAATTCATCTTTCTTACATGAACTACTAATAGTAGTTTATACAAGTTGATAAAATTCGAGTCCTATCATGTTTAACTGTCTTCGGAGTTTGTATTTTAGCTAGAATTTTAATTATTCATTAATTACGGTCTGTAATTTTCATAATGGTTAACTTGCATATTTAAATAATTAGTTATAATATTATTCAGTAATCTGAGATTGTATTTTTGTACTATATATTTTGAAATCATAAGTTCAGAAACAGTGAATGTATACTTAACAAATGGTTGGAGAATATAAAAAGAATTCCCGTACTCACTTGTTACTTAACAAGTGCAAAATGAAAAACATTACTTGAAAATTCTTTCAAACATCTTAGTAGATGGATATTATATTAAAATTTGCTTTAATTAGTCATTTAATATAATAATAAAATTTTCATTTTAATGTTCTGTCTTATTCAATAGTATATCATCATATTACAAATTCAAATAAGAAAATATACACAGAAATTCTTAAAAAGAAGAAAGAAAAAAGTCTATATTATGCTACATTTCTTAACATATGGTAATAATAATCTTTACCGATTTTCAATTGTCTTACATGTTTTATTTTTTAGTGCTAGTAACATGAATAAAATGTCATTAGTATGTTTAAGCTGATATCCGACTCTTAGTTTGTCGTTATTTTTTTTCATTTTTTTTGTAAGAAATAGTTTAACTAAAAAT